TTAACCAAAACATTATCGTGCCAAAACATGGGTAAATTCTTCAAAACCACAAAAAAAAAAAATTATTAGGCTTAATAATATCAGTAAATTTCTTCGATTAAACTTGACATAGATCAATTCTCAAATCAACAAAAAAAGATCTACCCATATAAAATTAAAAAATGGATTAGAAAAAATTGAATAGATTTTATATTAGAAAAATGAGTACATTTTATACTAAAATAAGGTATATTTTACATGTGACAAATTTGTATATTTAAAAATAGGTACGTTTAAGACTAAAAAATTAAAAAAAATTATATGAATGACTAAAAAATTGAAAATCTATTCTAAAACATTAATGGGTACAATTTTTTTTTTTTTAAGTTTTGAAAATCAATTAGAAATTTAATAAATGTGTGAGTATTAAAACCCTATATCAGTTACAAATATTTATTTTAAAAAATTATGTAACTAACATGTAAATTCCTTAATGCATTAACAGTAGGAACTTCGATTAAAATCTAAAAATTAATAAAGTCTCAGTTAATAAACATTAATAATTAGACCGGACTAATTTTTTTTCTTATTTAAATCACTCAAATCGAATTTGCAGATGATAACAAAAACTTTTCTTATAAAATTATCTTATTCTATATCACAACAAGCACTCCACATTTTTATAAGCATTATTAAAATGTTAAATGACAAGGTAATAATATCATTTTCTTTTCTTATCACCAAAACCAAGAAACCAAGTTCAAATCTTTTGGGTCTTTTCTGTTTTTTTTTTCTTTTTTCTTTTTTTCTTTCTTTCTTTCTTTGGGGTACGACACGCTCCCAAGCATAAACAATGATTATGATTCATTTGTGTCATAATCTAGTGTCTTAGTCTTTAAAAATGCTTATACAAATCTCATACAAAAGATGTCAAGACTGTAATTTATCTAGGATCTAGATCTTATTCAGATTCAAATTGCGGGAGTTTTAAGGATCTTCACATTCTAACCGTTTATCGTACATCGTGTGATCATAAATTATTTTGAACTTTTTTATTTAAAATTAAATACAAAAAGTATTTAACGAAAATTAATCGCACAATGTACGATGAACGGTCATGATTAAATGATCATCATTCATTTATCTAATTACATAAATAATTTAAGTCTGTAGCAGAAATAGTAATTAATTTGATTAAATTCGGTGTCGAGTCTAATAATTTCCGGGAAATTCGATTCACAAATATTTATATTTATTTATATTTTTAGATTTTATGTGGTAAGTTATCTTTATTCTACGGTACATATTGGATGCATCTCTCCCAGTGGTCCAATTTTCTTCTGTGCAGTTTCCATCACCTTCCAGGTACACAAGCAGAGATCTCCAAAAGTTGGTCTGGATATCTTTGATGAAGAAATCTCATTCGAGGGGGACCATCAAACGGCTCCCATCCATCCTTGAGATCACATGATTAAGTTTTTCCACTGCCACTAATTATGCTTCAATAACTACATAATCTCAAAACAAAAATGAAAACAAAACTGTTTATACTTAACAAATCACCATCAATTTATACTTTTTACTTTCCAAAAGCCGGGCCAGGGGCAAATGATGCATGGTTATGTTAAAATTACTAAGATTCAAATTTGTTTGTCACTTAGTACTACGGTCTAGTGATACTCTTCTTCATTTCTAAGTAAGTGGTTTAAAGTTCAAAGCTCTTGAATGTCGATTTCAAAACTAATTCATTTCTCCATCACTCTACGTTTATTTATTCTGAAATTTAAACCTAAGACTTTTATTTCTAACTACCAAACTCGTCCCCTTCCTCAGATTAAGGGCATCGCACATCCGCAAGTACCGGTTGAGAAAAAGGAATAATGCGTTTTTTTAAATTCCCTTTTATAAATGTTAATATGTTTTTATATTACTAAAAATGAGAGTTTCCCCCTTAAAACTTATTTTCTCTCGCTTAAAACCCATCCTCTTTATTTTTTCAGACATAAATAGACCCCATTTACTAGAGTCCAACTAAGCAAATTTCCTTAACAAGCTTGGTATGTCAGTTTTATAATTCTCGTGTTCCTAAAATACCCTCATAGAGTGTAACGTGGGTTAAGTTTGACTTATAATTAATAATAAATTTTACATTTTATTATTTTCAATGCAATTAAATGTCAATTAACCTATTATTTGATTAGGCTTTTTTCCTCCAATTTTTTTTACCAAAAATTGTTTTATCGTGAAACTAGCTTACCTTATTAGCATGCAATATATAACATAAATAAAAAAATATTATGGTGTTTTACATTGAGACATGGACAAATAATTTCTGTCAAAAAAATTATACAAAATAATGGTTGTATTTTTTTCTTTCCATAGAAAATAATTTACCTATCTATATGTTAGTACCCACTTAGAATAGAAATCCTGTAAAAATAATTTACTTACCCCATAGGTGTGATATTGTAAAGAAGAAATGTATATGATCACTTTGGATATTATAAGTAATAATATGATAGTATTACTTGTATAGGTAAATTAATAAGTAGATTGGTAAATTAGTATGTACTACAAAAATGCAGATAAATTAGCTTGTAACAAAAGAATGTATTTAAATATAGGTAAATAGTTTGTATCAAAAGAATGTAGGTCAATTAGTTTGTATCAAAAGAATGTAGGTAAATTAGTGAATTTTTAAAATATAGGTAAATAGTTTGTAATACGTGGTTTTAAAACAAGAGCTCAATTGCTCATTGCTAGCATAATTAAAGGTGAGTAATAATAATATTTATTGACATATTTAGGTCATTGTGGCATAAGTTGTAAATATTTTATAACGATATGTCATTTATTTGCCAACATGGCAAACTATTTGAATTTTGGATTTTATTTGGATGTTTAATATGAGGTGGGTTTTTGTCTAGACAACATCAGTTACAAGGGCTTATATCTAAACAACCCAATATATTATTAATATTGTTGATACTTCAACCTTAGAATGAATGTGATACATTTTTTTAATTGGTCGGAAAACTCTCTAATGGCCAAATTTTAAGAATAATACTCGGCTACTCAAAGATGAGTATGAACTCCTACTCAAAACTCTTAGTGTTTTAATCACAGAGTTTTGTGCTTATGATCAGAATTGTTCATACTATGAATCACATTGTAAAGATCATCTCTACAAAATATAAATTAAAACTAAGGTCATTTAGTCAATTTATTGTAGGAAATACATAGATGATTCGTAATGCTTTTACCAATTTCGTTCATTTGTTTTTAAACAGTTTGATGACTAAACGACCTTAGTTTTAATTGATTTTTTGTATATGCAATCTTTATAGGATGATTTATAATATGAATGGTTCTGTTTATAAACAGGAAGTTCTATAAATTAACACTAAACAATTTTGAGAAATTTTGAGTAGGAGTTTCCACTCATCTTTGAGTAACCAAGTATTCAAATTTTAATGGGATGTTAAAAACTCATCTTGCCACTTAGTACTATGGTCTAATGGTATTCCTCTTCACTTGTAAATGAGAGGTCTTAAGTTTGATTCTTGCCAAAGGCAAGTATGATTCTTGCCAAAGGCGAATTTGAACCACATTGTTACTAGCTAATTGTGAGGCTGAGCTCATCCCATCCTCATTAATGTGGATAATATCGTTTGTTAAGAAAGACAGCTCATCTTGGCCAAAAGATCCATATATATTTACATCTGCATCTTTAAGAAAGTGGACCCCGCTAGTTAAGGAGAGAAAAATAAATGAGAACTCTTATTTACTTGTTCTGAAGATGTAATTAAGATGTAAATGTAGGTTTTTTTACATTTCAAATTTGTATCTCTTCATTAAAGATGTTCTTAAGATATATTGTTATGTTCTTACATTTTTCGATGTGCGAATAACATAGCTGTGGAGATATCGTTATGATCGTCGATAAACTTAAATGCATGTATAATTGATGAACTTCACTGGATATACTTTAAAAATACCAAAAACTAACAAAGCTAAAAACAACTTAAAATTCACTATCAATAACAAAGAGTCTTAAACCCTAGCCGTATAGAGAAAAAACCAAAGGAAAAATTCTCTGTTGCCGGCTCCTGCCTTTGGCTTTGGAGTCGGCCACAATCTTTTTGAAAATCATTCGTTTATCTTCCCTCTCACTTTTCGTTTACTTTATTTGGTGTTGAATTGCTGCAGTGAAATATTGTATTCACCATGACAGTTGTCATCTTTTAACACACGCACACAGTTAACACAATGTATTGGTTCAAGTAATGTATTGGATCAAGTTATCACCTTCGATATAGGATTGAAGAGGGAAGTCATGGAAGATGTTGAATTACGTCGGATTGAGTTTAGTTAGTACGACACTTTGGGTTTAGTTGGTGCAGTGGTATGGCTTTTAGATGTCCGGAGGATGTGGAGCGGCGACATGATTTTCTCTTTTTATTTTGTTTCTGTTTAATAATTTCCAGTTATTCTTTTGGAGTTTGGTTTGATTTTTCTCTATAAGAGAGTTTGCTAGTTTGATTGCTTTCTATAGGAGAGTGCTTGATTTTAATTTTTGTTTTGATATGCTACCTCTTTTGGATCTATGTATGAATGGTGGAGCTGTTTGATTTGCTAGATCTACTTTATTTGGTGTTCTGGGATCGTGGCGGTGATGAGGTGATATGATAGACCTATGGGCATCGTACTCCCTATCTCAATTTATGATTTGAGGTTTTGTTCTCACATAGTCTCCTTGTAACATGAAGGTTAACAGTTTTATTGATCTCTATAATCGTGCGGTTCCCGATGAGCTCGAACAAGTGCTTGAAGTCTACTCATTGCTTTGTGATTAATGATGCTTTATTGTAATATTTTTAGATCTAGTTTGCAAGGACCCTTTTAAGGATGAATCTTCAAGATATGTATTTATAATGCCCTTTTATCAATGCATGAAATTTCGTACTCTTTAAAAATAAAAACAAAGCTAAAACCAAAACATAGAGAACTGAAAAACAAAATCAATTCAAACCCTACAATTCAAAGTTATTATTATATATGTCGTGTCTTCGTTTGATTCCAAAAGAAAACAAAAAGAGAAATAGAACAAAAGGAATAAAGACCCCTCCATTCTTTTTCAATTTCTTCTCCAACCCAACATAATGTAACTGACAGCAGTGTTTCTGTTTGGCTTGGTTCATAAGATAAAAACTTCATCTCTCTCTCTTTCTCTCTCTCTCTCATCGGTTTATTCTCATCTTTTTTCTATTTGTTTTCTTGCCCATTTCTCTTTTTGTTTATTGGCGCAGCTAAAAGCTAGTGTCCCTCTCGAAAAAGAGAAGGTCTCAGGTCTCAGCAGTGCTTGTGACTTTGGAAATGCTTGTGAGAAATTTGGAGTCTGTGATCTTTACAGTACACTAATTTTTCTCCTCTTCAAGTCCCTCTCCATTCTCATCGTGGTAATGCTTGTGACTCTGGTTTTTCCACTTTCTGCCGAGCTTGAAAAAGTATGGTCTAGCACATTGGCTGGTGTGACGACCGAGCTACACACCCTCTCTAGCATTGAATCGAACCCATCAACCACAATGCCTTGCATTGCACTATAGCATTGCAACATGTTTTCCTACACAAAATTTGAAGAAAAAAACATGATTTTTTGCATTTGAAGATGAATAGTTTCATGTAAAAGTGATTCCTATTTGGCTTGTTACATGAATGTGTCATTCTTTGTTACAGGCAAATTGTTGTCTAACATTGCAAAGATAACTAACTAAAATAAAAGAAATCAAATGTTTCGACACACATGACAACCTCTGGTTTGAGTGAATCTTTACATATAGGAAGCAAAGTATTTTCCTATGAAAATTACCTCATAATGGTAAGTATAAAGAATGTTTTTTTTTTTTTTTTTTACCTTATTTACATATGAACAGTGGGTTAGTGCTTTTTTAAAGCAGGAGAATTGCATAGGAAATAACTCGTGAGAAGCAGAGAAGAGAGCAGCGGCCGCGATTATTGATGGCTTGAACACTAAAAGCTCAACATCTGCAAACAACATAATGATTTGATAAAAACTGTTAAGTCCTTAGCAGAAACTGAAGTTATTTCCATGTCAAAATTTATCTTGTGGAAGTAAAGTACCCTTTTGAGATTTGAAGATGATTTGGGTGGCTCTAGCTTTGAGAGCCTGCAGCAATGGCGGGTCTTCTAGTTTGAACAAAGAAATGAAAAATGACATGAATGAGAAGGGTGTTATGGAACGCATTCTCCATTTTAGAGCTCCCAATATGAGTACTTCCATCCTTTGAATTGTTTGCGTGTCGAAAATGATGCCTCCATCACCCTATAAAATACCAAAAACACACTCATCAAATCTAACATCATTTAAATTAGCAGACGTGAATGTAGCCACATTAAATACACCTCCACCACCCGAGTTTGAATCTCTCTTCCTTCAGTTTAGGTTAGCTTAAAGTAGGATAAGAGTATAAAAAGACATCATTTAAGTGAATAATTAGTGATTAATTATGGGTTAATCACCACAATAATCAAAATGTTTAGTTTAATTTACCTGAACATCATGTAGAGAGAATTCTGATTTCATCATCTTGGAAGCTAAAGAAATGCAGGAGATTGCAAGAAGCTTTATGAGCCATGGCTTTGGTTTCTGTTATACCAAGCATGATTTAGATCTTATAGAAAAGATTTGAGCCCAGAAAACAATTTCTATGCATTGGCATTGGGAAGAACCCTTCTTGCTTTTAAAACCCATTTGTTAATTATACAATTTTTGGTTATCAAAAGCAAGAAAAGTGGTTCCAATAATCCAAATTGTTAATCTTTTAAGAAGCAAAACACCATGGTGTGCGTTTTTTACCAGCATTCCTTGGCAGGACAAGAACCGATCCAGATAATTTACAGCAAGGTACAGTAAAAGTTCATCAGAGTTGCAACACAGCTGCAATGCCATAAAAAAATAAAGTAAGGAAAAAGAAATTATGGCTTATATTTTATATTACAAGACGATATTCTAAACTAATGTACAATTTAAACCTCTGAGATGGCAGAGATGGCTTCCCTTCGAATGGAGATGTCGAAGTCTCGAGCTTTCAGGCTTTGAAAGTAAGTCTCTGATGCCATGTGATCAGATTCAGTGGAAAACAAAGAAGTGAGTGTTTCAGAGTGGAAGTCATGGGAAATTGCAAGTGGGTTTTCGAGGTCGAAATCCATGGATGAGTCTGGTTAAGTTTTCAGTGAGTTTGAGGGCAGAGCACCCAAGACATTGTAGAAAGGGAAGAAGAAGCAAAGTGGTAAGATAAAGAAAAGGCAGAGAATTTGAGTGTTTTATTTTTGGGTTGTTGAAACGAAAGGAAGTGGAGTGAGTGAATGAATGTGTGGGTGAAGACTTGGATTTCACTCCTTTACAGCTCTCTATGACTCTCACTCCATCATATAGCTAGTGTGTTGCAATTTAAAAGGATCCTCGCCGAATTCCTTTCCTAAGGATTATAGGGATATCGCGATAGTGATAATTTATCGTATATTGTACGGTCAGTTTTCGTTAGGTATTTTATATTTAATTTTAAATTTTAAATTTTGAAATAATTTCTAATCGCAAAATTTACGATAAACGATCACAATCACGAGATTCCTAGAATCCCTATGAAAAGGATCCGGTTCCATTTGCATTGACATGTTGAGACAGAGGTATTGGGATGTGAGAGGGTTATGATCAGATGGGTTGCAGCTCACTGTAGTTTGCAAGGAACCTCAACCACATGATTGGTCAAAAGAGTAGGTTTGTTTTTTTGGACATTACTTGTTCATCATATGAGTGCACTTCACTGTGATTAATGTATTTTAGTGGGTAAATCTTAGTTCACTATCCTCAAGTTTCGTGGTTTTCAACATTTGGTACATGAAGTTTTTTTCGTCCCAGAATCATACTTAAAGTGTTAATTTTGAGACAGTCTCATACATCCGTTGGTCTGGCTATTAAATTAACCGTTAACTAATGACGTGGCGCTCACGTGGACAATGACTAAGCGTTACGTGTCAATATAAGGCCCCACATGAATATTAAAAAAAAAATTAAAAAAATTATGGGCATTCACCCCCTCCCTCATTTTCCCTCCCTTCTCTTCCCTGCACCCACCCATTCCCCTCCTTCTCCCTCCCTTCTCTCCTCTGCAATCCACATGGAGCTCTCCCACCCCTCCCTCTGATCCCTAACCCTAACCTCAAAATTCAGAACAAAAAAGGGAGAAAGAAAACAATATATTCAGTACCAAGATCAAGAACCCAGATGGAGATTTTAACAAGGGCAGCTAAATACCTGATCTTTACGGTAGTTTGTGGTGGAGCTTTTTTGGGTTTCAGGGCAAAGCCCTAAATCTCGACGTATTTTCGTCGGTTTGCGGCAGAGCTTTCTGGGTTTCTTGACAGTAGTAAATGGGTTCCCCAACAATAAATCTGTGTTGACTGCAGATGAGAGAAGGGAGGGAGAATGAGGGGAATGGGTGGGTGTGCAGGGAGGATGAGTGTGGGAAGAGAAGGGAGGGAGAATGGGGGAGGGGGTGAATGCCCAAATTATTATTATTATTATTATTATTATTTTTTATTCTAAATTTTGAGGTTAGGGTTAGGGATTGGAGGGAGGGGTAGGAGAGCTCTGTGTGGATTGCAGAGGAAAGAAGGGAGGGAGAAGGAGGGGAATGGGTGGTGTGCAGGGAGGATGGGTGCAGGGAAAAGAAGGGAGGGAGGGGGTGAACGCCCAGAAATTTAATTTTTTTAATTTTTTAAAATATTTTAATATTCACATGGGCCCTATATTGACACGTGGTGTCCAGTCATTGTCCAAGTGAGCGTCACGTCATCAGTTAACGACTAATTTAACAAGCAGACTAACAGATATATGAGACTGTCCCAAAATTAGCACTTTAGGTATGACTCTGGGACGAAAAAAACTTCATGTACTAAATATTAAAAACTATGAAACTTGATGATAGTAAAATGAGATTTACCATATTTTAATTATACAAATTTCACCATTGAAATTGTTTATTTTTTAATCATTTAATGACCATCACTGCTAACAAATCAATCAAATTGACAACGGTTTTTTTTTTTTTTGGTAAAAGGATAGATTCAAAGAACAGAGAGGCACAAGGCCAAACAACACGTAGAGAAACAACCTCCGCAACCCCAGAAGATCCAGACACAGATAAATAGGATCAAGAAAGACACCACCTCAACAGGTACCAGCGTCGCCCTATTACCAGTGCAACCCATCCCCAATTACAAAGGAGGACAGGGAAGACCATCTTTGTTCAGAATGCCAACTAGCGAAGCTGGAGGTTGAACAACCCAACCAAAGCTGCACATCTCCGGTGAAATATTCCTTACGACAAAATTCGCCGCCATATTTGCCGATCGTGGAATCCACGACTAGGAGCATGAATGAAAACTCCTCCCAACATCGAAGATACGTCTAAGAATTGGGAGAAGGTCCCAATCAGCTGTTTGTATGTGTCGGTAAATGGACAATTTATCATAAGAAAGCAACATGTTACAAAATTGTTGAGTTGTTCTTTATATGTGGATTTCTAACTCCAATTTGATTGATTTTTGTAAAGATAATCTCTTAAATGATTGAAGAAATTGAACGCTTGATATTATAACAAGTGTACGATTAAAATACACCAATCACAATTAGATGGACAAGTAGGTGCACCCATAAGTAAATGCAAGTGTTGAGAGTATGAATTCCACACCGTGAGAAAAAGACTTTGCATGTATTTATAAGTAATTTGATTATTTTTCATATTGCCAATTTGTTTTATGATGAAACCTCGACTTTCTTCATGATATCAAAATAGGTTGTTATGTGTGAAATTCAAAAGCTATAAGTACTCTGCATCACTCTATTTGTGTTACTTATGTGAAACCTTAACTTTCTTCGATAATTATTTTTGTTTTTTTTTTTGGGTAAGCATAATTATTTTTGTTTATGTGTTTCTAAATTAATTGTCTTTGACCTTTTTGTTATTCGAGCCAATCCAACCTTCCACCTGAGTTTATGCATTTTTAAAATGTGAGTAATTTCTATTGTGTATCAATCTGATAATACTGTTATATTAAAACAATAAATAAACATGTAGACGGAGATTCAGAATGATAGAGATGTTTGATATCTGTTTAATTTTATTGGATATTCTCAAAAGAACTAATTGTGCATATCTTCATCTAGAATTTGATAAATATACTTCTATATAGAGAACTTTTTAAGAACTTATAGCGAAATTTATTTTATCTAATTTCTTCGCCATTGTGCATGCAAGTAATATTTTTATAAAATTAATGGAGTCCGTTTGCAGTTAGTGTTTTATGATAATCCCATGAACAACAATTGTCAAATTCTCGTTTAAGTTTATATGAATAGCATGGAAGACTCTAAATTTATACAAGAACCAAGTAAGGTATACATATAATCATGTGAAGGAATCAAGGGAGAGAATGAGGAGAGTCAAACCATCAAAAAATCAAGAGAGGTAAGCTAAGTACGCTTAACACATTCATGAATGGCTTTTAAGCATCAACAGCCCTCAAATTATTGGGAGGCAATTTTTACTTTTTCAGCTTCCTCACACACTTTTGCCCATCGCATTTAATAAATTAAGCGAAATCAATGAACTAGATTCAAAATGAGTGTGTAAAAAATTAAAAATGGCATGTATTTATCATTTCTCAAAAGAGAAATTATATTCACACACCCCAAATTACTTCTCCCACACTTTTTTAATTTTTTAATATTTTCTACACACCACTAACACTTGATAGAAAAATATTAAAAAATTAAAAAAGTGTGGGAGAAGTAATTTGGGGTATGTGAATATAATGTCCCATGATTATTATCCTTGTTTTAACGTAGGCCTAACAATAAAACATTCAACTTCTTCGTTTGCAAATGGCTCTTTACCACAATGATGGAAAGGAGTTGAGCTCTTGTATGAGGGTGTGAATTTGAATCCGGTCGATGACTAATCTAGTATCTAATCTAACAAAATCTCTCGTTTGACAAAAAAACTTATTCGTCTACCACTCTCCACTCACCGTCTTTCATATATTCAAACATAAATTGTAAAGAAGATTTCCTGATAAACATAAAATTAAATTAAAATTAAAAGAGGATTTAGTTCAAATTTACCCTATTGATAGACAGAGAGGCAACTTGGAAGAAGGAAGAATAATGTTCATAAAATTTTGTATCACCTTGGCTAGCTCGTTGAATCCTAGAAATGAAACAAGTGGGCCTCAAGTTCACCACCCACACCACAGTACTTGGGAATTGGGATGAATTATTCAACAAAAGAAACAAGAAGGTGTGAAACGTTGCCGCTTTACACCAACTTATGTAACCACTCCCAGTGAAAAAAGTCTTTCAGATCGATCCATTTCTTGACCAAACGCTGCCGCTTTACCCCAAACATAAACAATACAATTCAGTCTTTTCATGTCCATGGCAGAGTGACAGCTCGAGCATATTCCTGAACTGAATGAGTCTCCATTCTTCCTTACAAGCAGAAGAGAGTCTACTGAAGGGACAAAAATTTAGCACTTATATGTAGTTATACTGATACTCTTTAAGTTTTAACACAGCACTATCTAATTAACATGCATGATGATCACGAATGATATATAGTAACAGGAAATCTTTAAGGAAAGGGATCCCCATTTTTTTATAAAAATGGGGATTAATTGTAGGGTCCACATTACATCGAACTTTAACGATCTGAACCGTCTATTTTTCAAGTTGCACCTCATAGATCATCCTTACAAAATATTAGCCAAATCGGAAATGTTTAAGACATCTAATTGGGTTCAAAGAAATGAACGAATACTTTGTTATATAAGAAACAATGAAATTTTATCTTGATAATTAAATAGGCAAATGGTTTCGGATTAAATTGAATTTTTGCAAGAATGATCTATGAATCGAGACTTACAAAATAGACGGTTCGGATCGTTGAAGTTCGATGTGAAGTGAGCTCCACAACTAATCCCCATTTTTTGAAAAAAATGGGGATCCCTTTGCATAAAGGGCCTGTATAATAACATATTAGTTATATAATATAATCATTGCGGGTTTTGATTAAATTCAAGTCAACGAAGAATATGTCATAATTAAGTTGTTTAAACTAATTAAAGGTCTATGCAATTAGATGTGTATTTATGAATACATATATGTATATGTATGTATGAATATATATTTTGTAGTGGATGCCTAGTGGCGTTTTGATTGTGGGAACTATATATGGGGGTTGCAAGTACTGCTTACTTAATTTCCTTACGGTTTGGTGATTAACTTTTGCCGACGAAAAATACTCAAATAGGGAATCATAATTGAAGGGTAATGTTAGGCAGTTCAAAATTTTAGATTAAACTTGCACATCAAAT